TAAAACGGTTCAAATTAAACATTAATCAAAACAATGCAAATTAATGTAAAATATAATCATTTGCATTGCAACTAAAATAATATAACCAACACTTATAGCAACAAAAATATACATGGTAAACATACTTCTAACTAAATAAATAACCTTAACATTGACAAAATCAAACTAATATATTCCTTCAAACCGTAGCCCATAGTTCCCAAACATAATTTTCCTCCTAACCTCAACTCACATTCATAATATTCGTATCCACCATTCAAACGAAAATAAAAAGTGCGTCATTACCTTGAACGGGGACGAGGATGGAGGGAGGCGGCAAAGGAGGGCCGGGCGGGCGGTGGGCATGGCGGTCAGGCGGGCTTGCTGCTCTAACAGGCGGGACTGGTCGCGGGGCTTTTATTCGGCTCTGCCGCGCCAAGATCGGTGGCGTGGCAGACCCTGCCACGTCACCGGTCAGCATTTTCGGTTGTCGCCACGTCAGCCACCCGCCGCGCCACCATTCTTGGCGCGGCACAGGCTTTTTACCTCGCCATGGCAATAGGCGCGGCCAAAAGTGTTCGTTTAAAAAAAACAGTGTTAGATTTAAAATTAATTTTAAAAAGTGTAAAAATTAAAAAAATTCACTCCGTACAGGAGGAGGCTTCAGCGTACTCTCCCTACTGTACAAAGGATCTGAACTCCAGCTGGGCGCAGCAGATGCGGACAGCTCGTGAGCCACGGACATGGAACTGGAAGAAAGGGGCCCAGTCGACAGTCGTCCAGGCTGAGTGGCCCCCCTCCCCCTCCCCGCAACTGCAACCCTGTTGTTTGTTTGCTTCTTGCGTTATCATTTCAAAATGGACCAGTATCGCTGCAGTCCCGGCAGCTGAAGTCTAAGCTCAGGTAAGGTAAAACTGAACTGAATGCATCCGGGCACACGCCGTCGGTTTCATCGCTGTTTGATTGTCTTGATTGAGAGTCAAGAGGCACGGATAGACTTGAGCACACCACGACGCCCTGCTGCCATTTTGCTCGGTTCCTCTACGCTTTATGTGCTCTGAAAATCCCCGAGTGATCCGGCCGAAAAGCGATGGCAATTTTAATGGGAAAGGATTAAGGCCGTCCCAGCTGGGCAGTTGTATATGTGCAAAGCACAACGTCAATGTGATCTGTCAGTTACCTTACACCTGTCCCTTTAAAGCAGCGGACGCCATGCATGTGAAAAAGTGAAACCTCTTGCCTAGGGCGCGGGGTGAAGGTGCCCATCCGTATTGCCTGATTGCCTCCGACTCCGAGCAAGGTAAATTAGCCATGAAATAAGTGTTACACCAGTACGAAACAAGATATTTTCATCGTGCTGTGCTTTGTGATGCCGATCTCTTTTTTTCCCCCATAAGGACTCGTTCGGTTAAGGTATTACGAGGCCAGGAATCAATTTGGGTAGTAAAACCTTATATAAATTAAAGTAACTGATCCGGCTAGGAATCCTTCCTGGAGCTCGTTCCCGGTCAAACGAACGTGGCCTAAAAGTGAAGGAGACGCAAAAGGTGAAACGGATCATCGATCAGAATAACACATCAGAACATTAAAAAAAAAAGAATAACACATCAGAACTTGACAAGTGTCATCTTGTTCGATTACCTCTAGAGCAGTACTAGCACCCGGACATCCGGACGGACCCCCGCATCCGGGCACCCGCGGCTGCTGCACACTTGCGCTAGGCGAGGACTGCTCGCGCCGCTTCCCGCGCCAGCAGCCGCGCACTGCTCCATCCCTTCGCTTCCCACACGCATGCAAAGCGCCCCAGCAGCTGCAACAGGCGGCTGTGGAGGTGAGTCACGTTGCAACATATACAACACTCAATCTATTTTTAAAACATTCAGATGAAACTTTTGCAAAATACGTCTGAAGAAAGATGAAACACTTTAAACATGCTTCTGAAATATTTGTGAAAACACCTAAAAACACTAAAGCCATTGCAAAAACATATGCAACATCCTGACAAAAACACTTGCAAATATATGTGTGAAACATATGCAGCATCAAATAAAAACACTTGTAACATACGTCTGAAAAAAACAGATGAAACATTTGAAACAGATGCTTGCAATATACGTGTATAGCCATTGCAACATAGATCTATTTTTGCAACATCTATACAAAACACTTGAAACATACTCTGAGACATCTGCAACAATTAAAACATACATTTGCAACATAGGGTGAGAGAATGAGGCTGGCCGGTTCCGGCCGTCAGGGTGGGAGCCGGCGGCTTGTGAGCACCACCAACACCGGCCGCGCTGGTGGGTGCCCCTTGGCTCGGCTGGAGACGACCTGAGGCACCCCGGTGCCTACGCCCAGCCGCCATCGACAGGGGCAGCGACGCATCGTGACAGCGCTGGGTTGGGGAAGAGACCGGGGAGGCACCGCGCGAACTGAGGAGGAGACGATATGATCGGCTTGGGTGGAGGAAGAAAGCAACGGTGGCGGTGCGGGCTATGCTACTACCAGCGGACACGAGAGAGACCTAAAGATAGGGAGAGCGAGATAGAGCGGAGAGATAGAGAGACTATCGAGGTGGAGTGGAAGCCGCGTCCGAACTGTCGTGAGCGGACGGATTAGGGAAGCTATATGAAAAGAACTGGAGTTCGAAAAAGGAACGGAATGGTCAAACCAATATTCTATTCGCCTGTTCTGCAGCACTACTTCTACGGTTACTGCAGCAAACGAACCATGTTTTTTTTCTTACACATTTTAGCATAAGCATCAACATAAATCAAAATTTCAACAAAATGAACAGGACCATTATCTTTTACTCTATTATCAAAACGAATTACTACGGAGCTAATGAACGAAGTAAAAAGTAGTAATATAATAAGAGGAAATATCATATTATTTCTCGTTTTATTTTAGCCCCGAAGGGAGTACTAAAGGATCTAATCTTATTTCTTGTATTAGCAGGAATTTTGGGTATATGTCTCTACAACTAAAACATTCATAACTATTCCGTCCACATGTGCTACACCAAAGCCGCTCCATGCGATCAGATTAGAAAGGCAACGTGCACTCGCTCCATGCGATCAGCTCAATCCCCATAACAGCCGTAGCAAATCAGGAAGGCAAAAATCAATTCCCTCCATGCGATCAGATCAGAAAGGCAGCGTGCACTCGCTCCATGCGATCAGCTCAATCGCCATAACAACCGCAGCAAATCAGGAAGGCAAAAATCAATTCCCATAACAATCGTGATCAATTACGTGATCACCCCACGCCGTCAATTAGTACCACCTAAAAAACCTCAGAGTGTACACGCTTGCCCCCAGAATACGTTGATCGGTCTTGCCAAAAAGAAAATTCCGGACGCTCGCCCCCCCACCCCCAGGATATACGGTGCACGTGCATGCCCACATGCAAAATCCGAATTGGTCTTGACCAAAAGAAAAATTCCGGATCAGTCTTAGCCTGTCCACATGCAATCTGGATCGGACCACTTAAAAAGGGAGACGATCATTGTGTATCTATCTATCTACACCTAAAAAAACCCTACAGCTATCGTCTGCGTCGCCCCGCCCCGCGGCAAAAAAAAAAAATACAGTAAAAAAACCAACCTCCCTGTTTTCAAAACGAAAAAATCAAATACGGCAAAAAAAAAACATTTCCAAAAAAACATATACAAGGCAAAAAAAATCAAACTCTTACATATCCCCGTTTCCAAAAAAAATACAGCAAAAAAGAGTTTGCGAAAAAAAGATACAGCAGAAAAAAATCGTTTCAGAAACAAACTCTTCCACGTCGAAAATCATATCTCTACGACGCACAGGTTCCCTTATGGAGACTGTTGAAGAAAAGCTAAGAAATCTGGTAAAAAACTACAATCACATAAAGAAATAACACTCACGGGCTAATATGCATGATTAAACTTAAAATTACTGTGATATTATTTTATTAATCCCGTTCCAACACACGGCCATGATCAGTCGTGAAAAAAAGAACTTCCGAGTATTTCCGTTACGTTTAGCCTCTTGTCCACACGACGTCGGGCGACCGGTATCTATCTCGGTTACTCGCTAACTTATCCACACGACACGTGTTCGCTCAATCCCCCGGTTCTCCCCATCGCCTGTCCGGTGGGCCCTGGACACGACCTAACGGCGTCCGCGCCACCAGTGTCACCACTCACGTGGACTCTCTCGCCCGACACGGCGCTCCTCTCCGCTCCCCGCCCACACCACCGCACCACCATCTCGGCCGTCCCATCCGCCTCGTCTGCCGCTCCTCGCGATCTCCACCGTCCACGCATACCCATCCCCGTCGTGTACGCCTTCCCGGTGCCGCCTACCACGCCCGGGGCCGGTTAATCGGACACGCCCTCCGGGTAATAACAGCGCCACCGACGCGGCGGAGGAGGTCCAAAAATAACTTCACTTCCCCATGCGAATCGCTCCGCCTCCTGCCTCCACACGCGCGCACGCCCACTCCTCCCCTGCTTGGCTTCCGAGGACCCCGGGATCCGCCCGCTCCCCGCCGACGCGCCGCAGCAGCCATTTCCCCCCTGCTCGCGGCTGCTCGCCACCTCTCCTGCTATCGGCGCGGCGCGAGAGGAAGGCGTCGTCGTTTGGTGCCGTGTCGGGGTCCACCAACCCGGAGATTCGGCTGCGAAAGGAAGGTGATAAGGCGGGCTGCCCGAGAATTGGCAATTACTGCTGGATTGCTGCTGGAGGCGCTCAATTCCGCGTCCGGTTGGGATTTGCCTGATTTCGTGTCGATTCGGGGCTCTCATTGCCTCATTGGGCGCTCGAGCGCGCGTTTATATAGCGCATTGGCGGTGGCTTCTCGCCATCCGTGGGTGTGGGTTGAGCACTTGTCGCCGTGCTCATGATGCATTGAGTGGAGGCGAGGCGATCCCCCCCTCCCTGATGTTCCAGGTGGTTGTTTTACGTGCGCTGGTGAAGATGCCTCGCGGGGAGGCTCTGGCTCTTTGATCGCGCGCCGGGCCTCGCTCGACGGTGTGCAAGGCGGCAATGGGGATCAAGGCGGAGGGAAAGCTCAGGTGCCCGTCGTCGGTGGCCGCCGCGGCGCGGTCAAGCTTGAAGCTGTGGATGCTGCGGGCCACCACGACGGTGTTGCTCTGGACGTGCGTCGTGCAGTTCACGGCGGTAGGGAACTCCTGGACCTGGGGGCCTCGCGTGCTCAAGGGATGGCCGTCGTGCCGGACGGCGCGGGAGGCGGCCGCGGTCACCACCACGCGGCTTGCGATGCCGGAGCCCGTCGTGGAGAGGGCCGCGCTGCCACCTAAGAGTGAGTACTGCCGCTCTGCCTTTCATCGATTTCCTACGTTTTGGAATGGAAGCACGAATTGTATGCCAACGAAAATGCGTTTTATGTTGACCACTTTCTATTCAGATTTTGTGCATTTACGGTTGCCACTCATTTGGTGGAACGCAATATGTTATTATTATATTCGCATTATGTGTAGTATCCATGTTAGTCATAGTACCTTTTACTCTGTTAGGATTATAGGATTCATGGTCTGAAAAAAAATGTGTACCAGGTTTTACAAGTGAAGTTTTTTGATAGAAATTCTAGCTGCGGTTCGAAATCGTATGATGGTATATGTTAATTAATTTTTTCGAGAAAGGTGGGAAAGTAACAGTACCAACCTATGATGGTAATATGTTAATTAATTATTTAGAGAAAGGTGGGAAAGTAAGAGTGCCAACCTTTTTAGCTTGTACACTGAATTTATGGCTTATACTTTTCCTTTTTGGTACCAATCATGCTGCATTTCAGTATTTATTGTCGTTTCACCTTTCTTTTTTCACCGTGGTGTCTAGGTATATGAACCACAAAGGTGACGATGGACTTAATTTGCACCCATGAGATACATTCATCATTTTTACTGTTTGATACATTTTCCATGAATATCTTTCACTTTGTCGTGGTTGTTAATACAAAATTGAGTTGACTATATGACTACCATTGTTAGTGAGCTGTGAGCCTCAACTATATCACAGTATTGGCAGTATTATACTATTATCTTTAGGATAATCTGTCTTGATGTGCATCAGAGCATGTGTTTTATTTCCTTGTCGATTTTCCTAATCTCGATTTTTTAATGTAATGTTAGGAATTTATCGAAACAATGGTTATTTGATGGTTTCATGCAATGGTGGGCTTAACCAAATGCGAGCTGCTGTAAGAAACTTACTCTTCATGTATTCATTTGCTAAAGAAAGACAATTCTTTTTAGGACCTAACATCGCATCCTTGCCTTTGCCCTGTCGAATCAGATATGTGATATGGTTGTCATTGCAAGATCTTTGAATGTGACTTTAATAGTTCCTGAGTTGGATAAAACATCGTTTTGGAATGATCCAAGGTGTGTTTACTGTTGGCACTAAAGTTTCCTTGTCCCAGTTTCTTTCTTGAGTCGTTACTGGACGGATTTTATGCATATTCTTTGTGATAATATGCTTATGCATTCTGCCTCCAGTGAATTTCAGGATATATTTGATGTTGAACATTTTATAACCTCTCTTAGAGATGAGGTTCGCATACTTAGAGAGTTAGAGAATTGCCACCGAGGATAAAGCGAAGAGTGGGGCTAGGAAAGTTTCACTCAATGCCTCCTATTAGTTGGTCAGATATCTCATATTACCATAAGCAGGTTAGAGATGTCTGATGTCATGTGTCCTTATCCAATCCATAGAATGTTTATCATCTGGCAAAATGCTGATACATTTCATCCTTTACAGATTCTACCTCTGATTCGGAAATACAAGGTACTCCATCTTAATAGAACTGATGCTAGGCTTGCTAATAATGGTCTGCCTCTGGAGATACAGAGACTGCGTTGCCGGGTGAATTATTCTGCACTGAAATTTACATCCCAGATTGAAGAGTTAGGGAGGAGAGTAATTAGAATGCTTCGCCAAAATGGCCCCTTCTTAGTTCTTCATTTACGATATGAGATGGATATGCTTGCCTTCTCTGGCTGTACTCAAGGTTGCACTCCTAAAGAAACCGAGGAGCTTACTAGGATGAGGTAAAATTCTTCTTCTTTGCCATATATTCCAATCTCTTGGTTCATATCACCTTTTTATGTCTTGCCCAGCCCAATAGGGACAGCACCCCCCCCTTTTCTTGATCCAGCCTTTTCTTCGCCTCGGTAGTTAATCACCTAACCAAGGGGGTCTGGCCTGCGCGCCATACCTATACCCATACAGTGCCAGGCAGGCGGTGGACTCATTTTTGGGTTAGGGAAGGGAAGAAGGGGCCTAAGCACGGCAGATGCCGTACACTTGAGTGGCAAAGGAAAGCGAGACCGTACTTCTTTTGCCAGGCCTGTTCTTACATAAGCATAAGGTTCCCGCAGAAGATCAAGTTGGTGAGCCGTGTGATGGGAAACCTTCCCGCACGGTTCGGAGAGCACTGAAGACGCAAGGGGAGCTTGCTCGATTCGCAGATTAGTCTGACTCGTAATTCACTTTTGACTCCGTGTTCAATAGCCTGACCGTAGTGTATAAATGCATACATTATGTCTGGTCTTTCTCATACTGACACTGCAGTTACTCACACTTCAGGTATGCTTACCCATGGTGGAAAGAGAAAGTAATAAACTCTTTTGTGAAAAGAAAATATGGCCTTTGCCCTTTGACGCCAGAGGAGGTTGCTCATGTTCTTAAAGCATTGGATATTGACAAAAATATGCAAATCTATATCGCAGCTGGGGAAATATATGGCGGAAAACGCAGAATGGCTTCTCTTACCTCGGCTTACCCTAATGTGGTATGGACCAAACGACTAAATTCACTGGTGCCACCACAGCTGTATTGTGTTGTCATCAATCAGTGTGGCTCTTTCCTGTTTCACTGATGTTTTTTTTTTCTGGCAATGATGCGTAGGTGAGAAAGGAGACACTTCTGGAACCTTCTGATCTCATGTTCTTTCAGAACCATTCATCACAAATGGCTGCACTGGATTACTTGGTATCACTGGAAAGTGATATATTTGTTCCCACATATGATGGCAACATGGCTAAAGTTGTCGAAGGGCACCGAAGGTATCTATTATCTCAACTTAATCTTTTATTGAATGAACAGCATATTAGAGTTGATCCAAGTCAGTCCTTCCTAAATATTTATGTTGAAGTTTTGCACAATGTTTTTCTTCGAGTGATTTCTGCATCGGAAGTATTCACCTGTAGAAAACCATAACATGTCGAGTGCTATTTGTTGGTACAGGTACATGGGCTTCAAGAAAACAATCCTGTTGGATAGAAAATTTATAGTCGAGCTGGTAGATCAGTATACCAGTGGATCTTTGCGGTGGGATGAGTTCGCTTCATTGATCAAGGTTGTCCATTCCAACCGTATGGGATCAGCAACCACCAGGGCAGCGATCCCTGACAGGCCCAAGGAAGAGGACTACTTCTATGCCAATCCTCAAGAATGCTTGCAAGGTCCCAATATGTTGCAAACATTGTGAGCTTGTCAGCGCTCTTGCCATTCTTTTTGCAACTCGGCATGGCTGAACCTAAGATGATCCATCATATCTTCTGAACCTGCCAAATGAATGGCATGCTTTTGTTAGCAGTCCAGAGCCATGGAGAAGGCCTGTGAACGGGTTCTGAAACAAGAAAGAGCATATTCGCTGGTTGGTTTCTAAGCTGATAAGCCCGGCTGGTGCTGGTTTGTTGTGAGAGGAAAATACTGTTGGCTGGCTGATAAGCCCTGGCTGAAACCAACAAACGAACAGAAAATGCTTGAATGGAGAGGCAAATTTGTTCTTCTATGGATTAAACCAGCAAAAGTAGAGCTGATGCTCATGTACGAGACAGTAGTATAGATGGTGCAGCAAGTCCCAAAAGTCATCTTTGTAAGGGAGAGGAAATTGCTATTGTTTCAGAAAAGCATATATATGTGCCAACATTTCGATACGTTAATCTGTCAACTTTCCTCCCCCTCCTCCAGTCCTAAAAAACTGACAGTCCAGTTAAAATTTTACGCTCTTCGAGCAGATCCGCTTGCTAAAGGCGCGTCTTGCTTTCAGTGATGATATTAGGATACGATTGTCCTTGATGCACGATCAGTTCTTGGGGCGTGGGAGCGGTTAACTGGACGTGCTACGCCGCGCCATTGTCTAATCGCAGGACACCGTCAGCAGTGGTGAATATCCAGGCGCCCGCGTCGCTTGTGAGATCCGACCTGGGGTTGCTAAGATTAACCAAGCCTTCTCAAACAAGAAGCAATACAATACTAATAATAACAAAAATAAAATATACCCCCCGTTTTGCCCGATCCGATGCGGCCTGGCTGGAACCACTTTCTACTCGATATGCGGCTTTGCTAATGCCAATGAATTAGGCTATGTTTAGTTCCACCAAATTTTCAACTTTGATACTGTGTAAAAAGAAGATTTCCTGTTATATCAAATTTGCGGTACATGCATAGAGTACCAAATGTTGATGAAATCAAAAACTAATTGCACAGTTTGGTTGTACTTTACGAGACGAACGTTTTGAGCCTAATTAGTCAACGATTGGACAATTATTACCAAATAAAAACAAAACGGCACTGTAGCTACATTGTAGCTACAGTGATTTCGTCGGCGCCGAATCGGCCGAACTAAACATGGCCCTAGAAAAAAGTCTTGTTGGCTTCCTGATTGCAGAATCTACGCCCTACGACGAGCCGCGACTCGCCCCTCTCGGGCGTCTCGACCTAAAGAGACGCAGCCACCGCCGGCGCCGCCTTCCGCCATCACTGGTCCCCCTCCCTTCTCTTCCGGCATCTCGCCGGAGGAAAGAGGGAGTGGGAATCCATCGTCCTTCGTAAGTTTTTTTAGTAGATTGAGCCCTTAGAGTTAGGATTTCTCCATGCCAAATTTATTGGTACTAGAGATTTATTTCCTCCTCCTCTCCGGCGACGGTGAAAGGAAATGGTGAAATTATTTTCTCCATGGCGGCTCTGTTGAATATGAGGACGACAACTACGGTGTCAGCAACTTCACCGGCTTGACAACATAGAGGCCTTTCTTTCCGGACGGCGACATCAAGGTGGAGATGATGTCGCCGCCATGGAATAATTTTCTCCGGTCTTTTCTCCATTTTGTCGTGGCTAAATCTGGCAACGATGAAGAAAGATCAGCCTTCCTCATTCTTCGGTGGCAGAAAGAAGAAGGAAGACACAAGAAAGAAGAAGTTTTTCAACTCCGCCTGCGGGAATGTTGGCCGTCGTTCGTTGTGCATCTATTCTCAGGTCTTTTGCCGAGTGTTTGCCTATGCAGTCATCCATACAAAGCGTCATATAGGTTTGATTTTGAGATTTTGAGTTATTCATAGCGTGGGTACAATTTAGATAAAAATATGTTTCCGGATATATGTAGTGTATTTCAGAGTGTTTGTAACGTGTTGATGTACCAGGTATTATGTAATATAATTCTTCTTTCGTCTTAACAAAAATCTAGAAAAAAAAAACTTTGCTCTGGATTTCTCGGATGCAGTAGCTAAATGGTCTTCCACGATCCACACGCTGCACTTCAGGAGGCGATGCGTATTCTGTACGATCGCCGTCGCGCGCTGTGACCATCAATGCGCCTCCGATCCCTAGATGAATTGAAGCTTGCGAGTTCGTGTTCCTTGTTTTCAGTGATGATTGACGTGGTAGGATTAAGCTTGACGCAACCCCAAGAGCAATGAGTATAGGCCCTGTTCGCTGAGAAGAATTTAGAGGAATCTGAATGAATCTGAAGAAATTTGTGATAGAGTAAACAGTGTTTTCAGCCAGGAAGAGTGAATTCTGGCTGAAAAACTGACCAGCCGAACTGCCCCATAGTGCACGACTAGTAGTTCGGTCAGTGTGACTTGTGTTAGTGGTAGGATTAAGCTTGAAGATGGACTTTGTATCAAAATTTATAGAGCTTGATGGATCTACAATTTGCATTTGTAAGTTTTTTATTTTATAAATTATTTCAAGTGCCAAAAATTAATTTTAAGTTCTCAAATTTTAAAGTTCAATTTTTTTCCGAATGACCTTAGACGTTGACATTGATCTATATAAAACCTATAATTATTAATGCGATCTATAATTTGATAGTTGACATTTTTTATCATTTAGAGTCCTAAATATTTATTATATTTTCTAAGATTTTGAATTCAAAATTAGAATTTTCAAACAACTTTATAGATCATGTTAATGTCCAAAGTTGTTTGAAAATTCATTTTGAATTCCAGAATTTAAGAAAATAAAATGAATATTAGAACTCTAAATGTCTCTAAAAAATATAAACTTCAAAGTTACCAATCGCATTGATAACTACAAACTTTTGTGTAAACCATGTCAACATCCAAGGTCATTCAAAAATTCTAACTTTTAAATTTTAAAAATGAGAATTTAAAAGTGTCGGGTTCATAAACCCAGGGTCCCTCATGGACCGGCTTCCCAACAGAGGCTTGGCCCAGCAGGCAACATTGCAAACAATGCGCAACTCATGGGCCGGTCCAAGTACCTAAACAAAAAGACAGAGGGGCGATCCAATCACCGAACGGAAGGCCTGGCCGAGGAGGAACGACGTCTGTTTCCGAAGGCCTGGCTGAGGATGACGATGGCGTAGTCCCCGGATGCCTCGGTGGAGGGGCACCACAGTCGCCGGCGTGGTGCTCGACGTTGTATATGATAGCGCCTTCGAGGATCCAGCGGAACGGCGGGACGTCGTCGATGGAGAGCGTGGTGCGGCGGCCGCAGTAGATGAACTGGCCCGTGTACGTGCCAGGACGTTTGACGATGGAGAGCTTGGTACGGCGACCGCAGTAGTACTTGTAATAAAACTAGGCAGAGACTGTAATTGAGTAAGTTTCATGGGGGAGCCCTCGAGTAAACAGTCTTCTCAATTTACGAGTACATTAGTCCTTTTCGTGATGGAATCACTTTGTAAGTGGCGAATTTGTGCGAAGAATGAACAAGTTTTCATCTTTTGTTACGGCAAACAGTTTTTTTAGCTTCCTCTTTTTGTAGAAAAGGTTTTGGCGCCCTCCGACCATTCCCATGGTTCAAGTTGTAAGAAACTAGGAGTGAGGGCAAATTAATTCTGATCGCGCTGGTGAGCAAAGAGGTCATAGCCGCTGGGGCGTGGGTCTCCCGTAGTCCTACCAGTTGTACTCATAATTTGTTCCCGAAATCTTAGTCATTAGGACTTGTTTACGAGAAGAACGGAAAATTTAGAGAATGTTTGCAAATATAACACAGGAAGTTTTTGCAAACGTACAAGAAAGGATAAAAACAAAAGCTATGCTAGAATAAAAAATAAGAAACGGATAGTGGTTCTATCACAAAAACAGAACGGATGTATTCATTGATATAAAAAACTGTTCACACGGGGGCTCACCCACGAACTCAACTATTATATTTTCTAACTACTACTACTCCAAATACTACTGCGGCCGCTCGACAACATCGCCTGACGCCAAACGGGAGGCCATGGCACACGCCGCCGGACATAACCACCGCCACAGGGGCCCCGCTCGGTTCCGCTCCCTCAACTTTGATGAGCGCAACGGGTACCTCAAGGGACCCACCCGGTTCCGCTCCCTTGACTTCGGCGAGCGCAACGGGTACCTCAAGGGACCCGCCCGGTTCCGCTCCCTCGACTTTGGCAAGCGCAATAGGTACCTCAAGGGCGTCGCACCCATAGATACTCAACAGAAGAGCATGGAACTCTAGACCTTCTCATGCAGTTGAGGTAGCTCCTGGGCAGGGACGCTGCCACCGAGGTATGGCCACCATGGCTAGAAGAGATCTCATCAAACTTTATGAACTAGCTAGTCTGAGTAGGTGTAGGCACGGAACCCTCCACCAGCACGATCCTAGGCAACTTCCCCTCCGACGAGGCTCGCTCGGTGAAGATCCACCGGAAAAAATCCACACACAGCTCCATCCCAAAGAAGGCCTCGCAGATAAATACAGCGCGCCACCTCCTTCGGCGAAAGCTGCCCCTTCTCAGGCAAAGACGGCCAGCACTGCCTCCGGCAGCCTCCAGCTCGACATCGCGCTTCGGATTCACGAAAGAATCTATAAGTCCTCCCCCTCGCTTACCCTCTCTCTCACTTAGGAACCGCCGCGGCATACAGGCACTCTCGGTGAAGAGGAAGAAGGAGGAGAGGCAATAGTTGGAGAATAGGCAAAGGACTACGACGAAAAGCCCTCTCTTTCCCCCTATTTAAGGAGGAAACGTGATAGCTGAAGAAGGGCAAAAGATTAGAGTGATAAACTCTCTCTCTTCCCCCATTCAACGCGGATGGGAAACGATGGGACGCACCCTGACCGATGGGACACACACTGACCGACGGAACGACACCTGGTCAGATGGGACGACGCCTGGTAAGACAGGATGTGGTCTGGGTATGACCCACCACTACCGCACGCCGGGCGCAAAAACCAAAGCGTCACCACGCGTAGGTGGCTCTCCGCCTCTCCAGGCGGGACTTGGAA